TGTAGATGTCCTAGCTCTTCGTTTAAAACTGATTGAATCACATCTACATCTTTGTGGGAAAAATACATAACCGTGTCGTCGGCATAAAAGTGCAAATTGCATTTCGTGAAAGACCTAGGCAGATCGTTTATAAAAACTACAAATAGCAGTGGCCCCAGTATTGAGCCCTGAGGTACGCCGTAATCAAGGGATAATTCTTCTGACAATGTTTGTCCTATGGAAGTTCTAATACGTCTTTTCATTAAATAATCCTGAAACCATCTTAATGAGGTACCTTGTACACCAATATCAGAAAGTTTTTTAATTAGAATTTGGTGATTGACAGTATCGAGTGCCTTATGTAAATCGACAAAGACACACCCAGTATATTTCCCTTGATCAATTGCTTCAAGCCATTCATCAGTTACTTTAATAAGTGCAGCAGTTGTGGAATGTTTCGATCTAAAGCCCGATTGCTCCTTCACTAATACATCATTGTCATTCAAGTAATTAAGTAATTGTTTTTGAACAACCCTCTCTAAAAGTTTCGAAACACAGGGCAGTAATGATATTGGCCTGTAATTATCTGGCTGACATTTGTCACCTTTTTTGTGCAATGGTATAATTTTTGCAATCTTCCACTGGCGAGGAACTACCCCGTCAGTTATTGACTTATTAATAAGGTATGCTATAATTCTAAAGATTTCTGTTGCACAAGTTTTCAATATGTAAGAACTGATCCCATCCAAACCAACCGATTTTTTATTCTTAAGGTTGTATATTTCTTTTAACACATCTGCTTCAGAAACTAAAGAAAGCTCAAATAGTGGGGTTTGCCTATCATTATCCAGACCTGCCTCGTTACATACATGCGAGACATTAACACCATTACATGCATGTAAGACATTAGCAACATTGGCAAAATGATTGTTAAAATAATTTGCAGTTTCAAAAATATCATGTGACACAGGAATAGGTGATTTAGAGCTCTTGTTGGGTAGGAGAGAATTAAGAGTTGGCCATGTTTGATTTCTGTCTATTGTTTCAGTTAATTTTTCGATAAAGTATTTCCTTTTAAGTTTTCTATTTTCAAATGTAACTTTATTTTTTAATTGTCTATATTCTTTTCAATATACATCTTTGTTATCAATTTTTGCCTTCTGTTTCATTTTGTCACGCTTCTTCATTAATTCAAAAATCCATTCATTCAACCACGGTGAATGTTTCCTTCTTACTCTTTTAGTTTTGAGTGGCATGTACCTAATAACTACACCCAACAAAAGCTCTTGCCATCCATCTACGGCGTCATCTATACTCTTCATTTCTTTAACATCAGACCAGTCAAGCTCATTGATTTCTCTTTTGAAAGCATTCAAATCTACACCTTTTGATTTACGAAATGTGACGAAATTTGGATCAGAACACTTATCATATTGACGAGTGTTCCAGATCAAAAAAAGTCATGGAGTGATCACTGAGACCATTATGAATAACACCAAAAGAATTTACATTCTCATTTCAGTTTGTAATAATATGATCAACAAGTGTTGAAGATTCCTTAGTAGCTCTTGTATATTCTGACTTATTTACATGTTTCAAACCATAAATAGCTTTTAATTGGTTATATCGTTTACATCCGCTTGTTTGAGGTTGTTTTAAAATATCAAAATTGATGTCTCCCATAAGAATGATTGGTTTGTTAAATCGCTCAAGAAATGTTAACATAGTTTCATAGTAATTGAGAATATCACATTTGGAGCTTGGAGGTCGATACCATGTAACAAATATGAAAGGTTTATCTTTTTTCAAATCAATCAGTAATGATAAAGCTTCTAAATGTAGGGTGGAATCAAATGTCAACTGATGAAAATTCAAACTATTATGCACATATATAGCTACTCCTCCACCTTTTCTATTCCGATCATTTCGAATAACAGAGTATTGGGGTATGGAGATTTCTGTGTCATACACACTATCGTCTAATCTGGTTTCATTTAGTGCGAGTAGGTGTATGTCATTACTGCACAAAATTGATTTAATTTCATCAAAATGCTTCAAAAGACTAACAACGTTAAGCTGTAGAAATTTTAATCCATTTAGTGATAATTGATTGTATTTCAACCCGGGCTGATTAACTATATGTCCATCTAATTTTTTCTTTGAATTATATTGCACATTGATCAAATTGGCACTTTCTCTATAAAAAAGGTAAATGCTGCATCATACACTGTGGACATTCCCAATCCAAGAACACTTCCGTGTCATCATCATATAATTGTACAGGTACCCTAGCACATGATATGTGGATCCAACTTTTACATTGTGTACATAAAAGGCCCTTTTGGTTTGATTTTACAGACTTTCTACACAACCCACATGGAAACTTTCTTAACATTACAATCCTGCTTAAAATATAGCTTGAAAAGCTAAAGCCAAACATTCAAGGCAAACAATAACAAAAAATAACACAAACATTAAAGTTTTACATTAAAATAAAAAATATAAACAAAATGCGAGTTTGTTGTTCGTTAAATCGATAAACCTCCCAGGATGACGTATAAAATATATCACTAGCCAACATCGTTAGATGTTAGAGATGTACATCCAATCATCATTTTACAATTTTCTCAAATCTTCGACGGACGTGATTAGCTTCTTAGCAGTTTTTCCATTACTTGCTGGTATGGCTACCGAAGATTCGTCCGTGTTGTGACCAAGCTGCAGTGGCTTTATTTGCTTCCCTGGCTGTCCTCAATATCTTGTAGTTCGAGAAAGTAAGATCTTCCGCTATTGAGATTCCAGAATTTTTTAGTTTCCGTCTTGCTCTCAACACGGCCTGGCGAGCGCGGTTTGTTGCAAACTTGACGAGGATCGGGCGATGACGAGACTAAGGATTTATCGGCAATGATTCGGACGAAATCAACGACGATGATCCTTTCATATGTTGTGATGAGTTCCGTTTTGGTCTCTCCATTGGGCCCGTCCGATGACTTCTATCAAAATCGTTAATACTGATGTCCACTCCTAGTTTATCTTTAGCAATACCAAGTATGATGCTATCTGTGCTTTCCCCTTCTGCTTCAGGGCAGCCCAAAAATACGAATTGAGTTCCGTCTTGAATATTGCTCGGCTTCCTGGGCTTTGTTTTGTAGGTTTCGAATTTCTTCACTCTGCTCTGATAATTTCTTCTCCATAGTAACCAACTTTGATGAATTCAAATCCTTTTCTATTTCAAGAGTGACGATTCGCGATTCATACAAATCTAGTTGATGCGAAACTTTTTCAAGTTCTTTTTTTATATCTTTCAATTCGTCTCCTACAGCTTCCTTCACAGCTTTTTTCACCGCATCTAAAAAATCCTCATGTTGTATGATATCTTTGAAAGAGACATTTACTTAAGGGGTTTCAGCTGAATGAGACCGCCTCGTTTGCCTCGTAGAAATAGAGGAATCGTAAATCTAAGAATGAAAAAGGGGTTGGTAATAATGATATTGAAATAGAGTTCATAATATTGCAAATAATTTTTTTTTTTTAATATACAATAATCTTAATTTTATTGAAAAATGTTTTAAAAAAAATAAAACGCAAGCATGTGTTCGGGACTTTTTTTATTGATAATTTAATGCAGCTGAAATGGCTCAACATTGATTGTGATGTGATTATTGCTCCTTCCCCAATTTTATCCTCCTTATATACGGTTCATGTATTGGTATGAGGATCTTTTTTGGATCCCACTCGTTCCTTTTTCTTTCAGGGGAAAGCCTGTTAATAAGTGCCCTCTCAGCGGAGCCTGCTACCTCCCACAGTTCAAAGGTGAAGTCTGTCGAGTTACCCAGGTCACAGAGATCGGCAAGGACACCATCGGCCTCCGAATCAGCCCTCTACGGTTCAGATAAATGCCATCATTCCTCGGAGATTATCGTCTCTGCTGAGCGTTATAAACCATTTTAAAGCTAGCCCAATGAAACCAAAAAACGATGGGTACAAATTTCAAATTACACGCTTGCCCTTTTGAGTTACCAGAGCATGGTTGCATATTGTAAAGAGTTGTGATTGATCTTAAGTTTCATCAATACATGATGAGCCATAGACTTACGCTCCATATTAACCTTACGATCAATAAAAATGCTTTATAATACATGGCCCATATCATCCAATATAATTTGGTGGAAAATTTGGCTGAAGAATTCTCTGTGGTCCACATGATTGGTTGCCCCAATGGGCTAGTGTAAAGTAAAGTTTTGTACTCGTATACTGGGTTTTATCAGTCTGATTTTCCAGACCATTGCACCGAATAGTCATACAGGCGCTGGAAATCGTCGACGGCGATGATCAGACTTCCCTGCGACTGGCTCCGTTCCCGGTTTTGGGAACTCTCAGAATGTTTGGTCTCTGCAATGTGCCGTTAATTTTTTTTTCCTGTTGTGCTCTGCCGCAATGTTGACATACAAAAAGTCGTTTGTCCTTGTACTCGACGTCGATGTGACGATCCAAGCTCCTCTTGGAGTCCCCTCATATAAAAAAAAATCCCCCTGGTGAATTCCCGCCCCCCCCCCCCCCATTCCGCGATCGGAGGGATACCATGCGTGTTACCAAAATGTCCGGTAAAGGGGTACTGTTCACGCACCAAAGTCCGGCTCGTAGAATCAAAAACACACCGGACTTAGGGGGTGTTTTCAAAAGGAGGGAACATGCATATGCTTACCCTAAATAACACTGAGTGGGGGGGGGGGGGGGTGCATTCCTTGTCCGTGGTGGATTTCGTGTAGGAGCTGCTATCGGTCTCGGGAACTGGGCTTTGCTGTAGGACTGCAGTACTGTTCGCTTCACTTTGCAACAACTCCCCTTCGGCTTTGTCTTTTATCTGCTCAGTTTCTGTTACTGCCTGGACTCAAGTAACATCTTATACGAGGTCTTTTGCTTCATCTCCTCGGTGTGGTCTACGTACTGATTTGTAGGTTCTTCAACCCACGAGGTAAGGGGTTCACCTAGATAAGGCTTCAACCTGTCAGCGTGAACAACTATCTTCTTTCCACGGTTCTTTGCTTGTATCCTGTAGACGACAGTATATGTGCTTTCCTGTCGCAGACCTCCTTTTGCTTCCTGAAACTTTCTGATTTGTTCTCCCTTGCACGTTCGTGCGCCAGGCTCATCTTGTTCCTTAGGTTTTCCGCATGATCTGTATCCAGACCGCGATCCAGCTCCCGATCATCATTGCACAAGTCAGCGGAAAGTTTTATTGGCAGATGTAATTCTCGCGTTAACATCAACAAGTTCGCTGTCTGGCCGGTCAACTCCTGAGGGGATAAATGGTAGGTGAAGAGAGCGAGGGGTAACTTCTCATTACAATTTCTTTGCCGTCTGGTAGATTCAATGGCAATGGAAACAATGGTGAACAACGTACGATTGAATCGCTCAATTAGTTCATCGGATTTCGGATTGTACGGCATCGTCCAAGTCTTCTCTATGCCAAAGACACTACGAATCTCTCTGAAGACCGCTGATGCGAAATTTTGGCCTTGGTCCGTATGCAAGACTGTTGGGACTCCACAACGACATACAAACTGGTTCACATACTCAGTCGCCACAGTTGTTGCTTTATGATCAGGTATCACATAGGCTTCCATCCATCGGGTCATATCATTTCCAACACCCATTTTGTATCGGTTCCCTCGCTCCGAATCGGTAAGGGGCCATGATGTCTAAAGCGACTTTTTCCATCAGCATGCCGACTTTGTGTTGCTGCAAAGACGCCCTCCTGGTTTCGTTGGGCTATTTTTTTTAGAAGCACACACGTAGCATTGTCGTGCTGTGGACTGAACATCGGTACCCGGGCCAGGATATTATAATCTTTGGCGAACCTTTGCCGTTGTCCTACGTATGTCCGAGATGTCGGCCTGAAGGCCCGCTGTGTATTCTTGGACCGTCGTCTTTCTGAAGTCCTCAGGCAACACAATATGCCACTTAATCTAATCTCGTCTCTGTTTGGCTCCCATATTCTACAAAGGACGCCGTTTCTGATCTCGAGCTGGTCCGAGCATCGCCAATACGCTTTCTTCGCGGCTGAAGAGGAAGGGACGACATTGTATTCCAGTTGGCCCGGTCTTCTCCTTCCTCCTTCCTCTCCAAGATCCAACTCATGGAACTGTCATCTAGTTGTCTGTATCTCATGTCCACAGAGGTGATTGATGGCTCGAGGGTCACGGAATTCACTTTCACTCCATTGCTCATGTGAACTTCAGGGGTTTTCTGTTGGTCTTCCAGAGGTGGCTCACCTCCTCCACACCGCTCGCAAGCAACACATGGCCGTCTTGACAGACTGTCAGCGTTTGAATGAGAACGTACGGCCCTGTGTATTATCTCTTTGTCAGATTCTGCTATATGACCTGTAACCATCGTGCAATCTGCGCCTAGCTGCGGGTCACGGAAATTCAGCAGCCATCTTAAAGCGCCTTGGTCGGTTCTGACAGTAATTTTACTTCCGTATAAGTACTGTCTAAAATGCTAAAGTTACCCAACAACTTTTAGGAGTTCGCGTCTTGTCTTACAGTAATTCCTTTTGGATTTGGATAGGGCTCTGCTGGCACATGCGATGGCTCGCTCATTTCCTCCTAATTCTTGAAAGGGTACCGCCTCTATGCCCACATTGCTTGCATCAGTGTCCTATATGTATGACTTTTCAGGGTCTGGGTATACAAGGACTGGTGCCGTCAGGAGATGTTTCTTCAACTCGATCGGAGAAAGCGCAATCACACTCGTAAGTCCAGATGAATACCCTGCCTTTTTCGGTGAGCTGGTAAAGAGGACGTGCAATATTTGCAAATTCACCAATGAAACGTCGGTAGTATGACGCCAATACGAGGAAGCTCTTGACTTCTCTAACAGAAGTTGGAACTGGCCAATCCTCCACTACTTTGATCTTTTCAGGATTGGTAGAGATGTCATTATGTGACACTATGTGGCCAAGGTACAAGACACTCCTTTTGAAAAAATGGCACCTTCTGGGTTTCAGCTTCCACCCGGCATCCCGGAGGCGCTAGAAAATTGTCTCTAGTCTTGTCAACTCTTCATCTACAGTCTCCGCAAAAACAGTCACATCTTCGAGATACACGAGTAGAAACTTCCAGTGTAACCCTGCAAGGTACTCTCCATAAGACGTTCAAACGTCGACTACGCGTTACAGAGGTCAAAGGCATGACCCGCTAGAAGTAGAGGCCCCCACCGACTACAATTGCCGAGTTCTTCTGAGCGTCCTCATCTAGCTCGACCTTTCAATATCCCGAAGCGAGATTTAGTGTTGTGAACCATTGCGATCCAGCAAGAGTGTCCAGTGGCTCGTCAATGCGGGGTATCGGAAATGCATCTTTTACTGTCACGTTGTTGAGTCGCCTATAGTCTACGCAAAATCTCTTCGATTCGTCCTTTTTGCGGACCAACACAACGTTTGAAGCTTTCAACTTGAAGTATATCCTGTATCTGGGAGTCAATCTTTTGCTGTTCCTTCGGTGGGAACCTTCTTGGTCTCTCCTTTATCGTCGATGCATTCATTGTGTTGATGTCATTGCGAACAAGGTTGGTCCGTCCAATATCAGCACCATGAGCCTCGAAATGTGGACCTGTGCGCTATACAAGGAGCCGCTATTATTGTTAATATGTACCGTGTTGTCTGTAGATTCTACCAAGAATCTTGCAACCATCACCCTTTTCTTCCTACTTCGTTTTCCTCTGTAGGTTCTAGGATCCCGATATCGGCTTCACCGGGATTCCCCTTGAACAATCTTGGGACCAATGCTTCGTGACCCGGTGGAATCTTGGTAGTCTCCTCTGCGACCACGCTGAAGCACAATCCATGTCCCAGCTTATTACTCCATTTGATTTGGTCTCCATTGTCTCCAAGTCCAGTTGCATTTGTTGTAGATCGATCTTCGCATGTGTTGCTATCAGAAAATCCATTCCAAGGATCCCTTCTGCTGAGCCAGTATTGGCAGTTTCCATAAATTAAAAAAACACAGAAAATGCCAAAAAAAATCAATAATTTATTGCATTTTACCCCGGTCCCCAACATAAACAAATCTTCTGGACGGCAATGCATTACGGCTCAAGGCATGGGCACACAGAAGATTTTTTATGTTAGGAACCGGGGTAAAATGCAATAAATTATTGAAAATTTATTGCATTTTCTGTTTTTACCTTCTATTTATAAAAACTGCCCCCTACCCTAGCCCCCGCTGTGTACAGTCATGGTTCGGTGACAAAGCAATGGCCTCGTAACTGTGAGACCCCAGGATCAAAACCGTGTCGTTGTGCTATATTAGTGCCCTTTTGTGGGGCATTAATCCTCATTACTGTCATTTATGACTTGAGGGCATAGGTCCCCTAGTTGATAAGCATAGTAGCATACACATGCTTTAGCAGTCACGCAAAACACACATTGGCAAATTATTATTCAATAAAGTCCGAGAATGTATACTATTATCTAGATCTATTATGTTTAAATTATTTTAAAAATAATTCCATAAATTGGGATTAAAAAAAAGAAGATATTCCACCTTTATGAGCGACAGTGTACAAAATAAACTATCTGGCATTAAGTGTAATTTACACCTGTAATTTACATCTGAAAACTACTCCTGTAATCTACCCATGCACTATACTGCAAGCATTTCGAGTTACATTATTAACTCTTCAAATGAATAAACACTTTCTTTCAATTCTCAGTCCAAATACTATGCCAGAGGTGCAAAGCTTAACCTATCAGCAAGTCAATAAATAGTGTCTTGCAACTTTTATGCAAGCTAAATCAAATTCTACAGACCAACTTTTGTCACCCACATAAGCTGCATAAAATCCATGATTCTAGCATCCACAATAATAAACATCCTTTATCTTCAGGACTTCTATAAATTTACACTGTTTCCATTATAAATGACATAAAACTATATTTGCCTCATACTGTAATTCTGCTTTGACAATCATTATTTAACTGGAAAAACATAAGACTAAAAGTACGTCTCATGGGCGCGGCCATTTTAGGCGCAGCCATTTTGGAATTAACGCCACACGTGCATTATGCTGATGAGTTAAATACATTTTCAGATTTTTTTGTTGCAGGTCAGGGCTTACACAATCATGTCTAAGGTGATGTTAATTCCGTTTTGGCGAGCACGAGCACACCAAAACTTCTTTGAATAACGTTTGGTACATAATTATTAACTGGTTGTTGCAGGTTGGGGCGGGCACGTTTGCGGTGTCAATTCCATTTTGGCGAGTGAGCATAGCGAGCAAGCAAAAAAATAAATTCTCTTTTAATAGAAATTAATAAATAAACTTGTTTTTATTGGTGCAGGTCAGGATGGACGCAATCGCGTTTAACGCGATTCAATTCCCTTTTGGCGAGAGGGCGAAACAACTCTTCCATTTTTAATGATATTGTTGCAGATCAAGGGTGGGCACAATTGTTTCCAAAGCAATGTCTATTCATTTTATTCGCGAGCGAGTGTAGCGAGCGAGAAAAATGAATTAGTCTCTTTTAGTAACATTTGGTACATACTTTTGTGTTATTGTTGCCATGGTTGCAGGTCGGGGCCCGTCGGGGCAGGCACAAGTGTATTCTAGGTAATGCTAATCCTTTTATTTTTTCAGGGGGACGAGCAAGTAAAAATATTTAATACAAAATAGGCTAGCAAGCAGTTCGCGCCAGCGAAGAGTTTCAAATTTGTTATACAACTTATATTTTCCTATTTACATTTGTCTTAATTTTTTTAGGGCCGTATGCGGAATATTTTTCTGGTGAAGGAAGGGGGAAAGATGCGTTAAAAGTTTTCGAAGAATCTCAAAAGCAAAAGGATTGAAGGGAGTTCGAGCGACTGAACTGGTCATGAGGGTACTTTTGCATTTTCAAAAGTAGAATTGAAGGATTTGGTATAGGCCTACACTACATTTTCGGGAAAAAAAACTGTACGTTTTCAAAATATCTGGGATCAACTGCCTCCCCCCTCCCCTCTGGTGCGTACGGCCATGGTCTTTTTTTTAATTTCCCCATTTTTTTCCTTTCCTTTTCTTTCCCCTTTTTCTTCCTTTTCTCTTCTTCTTCCTTTTTTCTTTCCTTTTCCCTTTTTTCCTTTTTTCTCTTTCTTTCCTTTTTTTCTTCCCTTTCCCTTTTTTCTTTTCTTTCCTTTCCTTTCTTTTCTTTACTTTCCCCTTTTTCTTTTTTCCCCTGGAGCCCGTCAGGGGGGGGGGGGGGTACTCTGCCCCCCTGCCCCCCCCCTCCCCATAGGTACGCCAGTGCTTACATCTGATCAACAAACACAATGCTTAAAGGAGCTACACAAAGAAAATTTACTAACAACTGATAATTAGAACAAATTACATATGTAGAGTAGGTTTGCGGTTGCACCATGTGTGTGTGTGTGAGAGAGAGAGAGGTTTGAGGAGTCCTGACAAGAACTCTGACTCGGTAATCTTTCTTGGAGGAGTGTAGTCCTGAAAAGGACTGTTTGTTATCTTTCTTAGCATATAGTTCTCAGGAGTACTTCTTTCTCTGTTTTTTTAAAATTAAATTTCAACATAATAAGGCGAGTAAATCTTGCTAAATTCTTCAACTGAGTAGTGCTTCTAGTATTAAAAAGTTCTGTCATGTGCATACCACTTGGGAGCT